TTTTCCTTCGGCACATATTCCTGATAACATAAATTTATTATCGCAGGCAAAAGTTGTTTGTCGAAAAGAATTTAGTTAGCGAGACTGCTTGCGTGGGATTTTAATTTTCCATATCTAACTAAGGCTCTGTAGCTACACCTGTGTTTTGTCAATTATCAAAATTAACGTTTTCAAGTGGACTTTCTTTGGCGAACATTTCTTGATAACACAATTCCATTCGCGCAGGCCAAGTAGGAAAATCGGTCAACGATTACTCGTAGGTGGCCTTTAATTTTCATATCTGTCCAAAGTCTTTTTTAGTCGCCTGTTTCTTTTCGTCACTTATCGAAATAACATTTTCACTTGAATTTTTCCCTTGGCCGGTGGTCTGTGTTGATAATAAGATGCCTTCTCGTACCAATAGTTTGTTTTCATATCCTTAGATAACATTTCCCTACTCACTCAAATCTCATTGTCATTGTAATGACACTCTTTCACCATTTGCCACTTATCAAAATAACCCTTTTTTTTATTGCTTCTTAGCCGTGTGTGTGTTCGCTTATCACCTATGATTCGGATCTCGCCTCACTTTTCCCTTCCTTTCTTCGTTTCTTTCTTTTCCCTTTCTGTCTTTCTTTCTCTGCCTGGACGCATGGTGCCACAGTCCGAATAATGTAAATAGTGTATATAATACCTCATCTCAGAAATATAGACAGATACTGAAAGGCTGGAACGTTGTAATAAATATGGCGACAAAGATGAGGATAATAGTCCGAATAATGTAAATAGTGTACATAATACCTCATCTCAGAAATATAGACAGATACTCAACCATAATAATTGAAAATTGCTTTTTATGCACATTTTTGTATAAATTAGCCACACTAATTGAGGGATTCTTGTAATTGCTTTTGCTCACGCGGTCGTCTATTTGTGCTGTTGTAGTAGATATATCATATCTCCACCCCAAAAACCTTGAAAAAACTATCCTTATAGCATACACAACGTTAGATTTTATTTTACGCCTCAAGGTTTGCACAATATAATCCGTATTAGTCCATTGACGATATACTTATATCGTAAATATACCACGTGAATGTCAGCTTATAACATCTGATTTAATTAGAAATATTTGTAACTAGTAACCATAGCCGGCTGGTTGATCGGGAAAGAAAAGCGTTCAGTTAGAATGGAGCAAAAACAGCATCATGTTTACATGTAACACAGAATCTATCTTCAATTACTTTAAAGTACTTTCATTAAAAAAACATTTTGAATTAGTGCAGTTACTAATATAACAGAAGTAGTCTGTATTTATTCAATCGAAGTTAGCCGAGGACATGACAGGGTAAAACAGGAAGACCACCCTTCAGACCGCATATATTTAGGAATTTCTGAAATTATCTTTCTCAGCGTGCTACCGCGTATGTAAAAGAGCATACATTTATAAAGTAACTGTTAAGTTTGATGAAAATTGGTTGAAAGATCAACAAAAAATAAGAAAGAAACCAGTAAAAATCGCTATTTTTCGCTACTTATGCGGGTTTTCATTGTATGGGTGGACTCAGTTATCAAGTTAAATGATTGTTAAACAATCAACATACTGTTGGCTACAACTGAGTGAAGTTTGTATTAGATTGCTTGAAAATTGAGTTTTTAGTTTAAAATTTGTATTGAAATCGATTTTTCGTTTTTCTCGGTTTTTCGCAGTGGTGTAGAAATAGAAATGCGGTATCGTTGAGCTCGTCATGTTGTAAGTAACCTACATACCGGGTTTGAGGAAAAAATTTAAATTCATCGATATTTGATCGGCTTTATTGATTATTGATTTTTTTAAATTATCCATTTGTTACGCTAAGACCCTATCTCTTATATTGTACAATGTACGTGCCATGTTTGGGCAAAATCGGTTAGATGGATCTCGAATGAAAAGGTAACACACGAACAGATAGATAGACAGATACACACATATACATCCTCTGTTTTATATATATAGATAACTCATTTGCTGGGGTAAGATTATATGCAACTGAATTGCTGGTCGATATATTGTAAATAGATTATATTTGATTAATTATTGATATCTACATTTTGATATTTAATATTTACCTTTATGCTCAATGTTGTATGGAGTTGATATATTTCCCTGAAACTTGGAGTAGAAACGACCATACAATCAATGAACAACATTCATTTATTTTAATGATTATTATAATTTCTGAATTGATGATGACGATGATAATGATGGCGATAATAATAATCATATAGAAATTGTGCTTGCCCCACCTTTCGTTAGTTCGCACGACCGTTACGCTCTGTCAATACCTCATAAATAATGAACTATTCCGTTCTGATCATGTGAGAACACAAAAGACATATCAAATATGCCACTTGGTTTCAGTGATACAGTAGAAAAATATCGATGTTTGCCCCCAATAGTTCTTAATACTTATTTAAAAAAAAAAGAGAAAAAAACAAACCCTCGACACCTCATAACTTAGTTACCTCCCCTGAAGCCTTACTTTGGTAATTGTACTAATGTCGGCGTTCTTATCTTCACCAGTAAAAAAAATAAATAAATTTCAGATGAACACAGTAATGTTTTCTTTGCAAATGTCGAACACAACTATATTTCTCTTGAAAAAAAAAAAGAAAAACAACATCCTGATGACAACATTGTGCTAATGTCGAAAGTACATACGTTGATGATATTATATTAGTCAAGAATACAGAATACGGAAGAAATACACCAGCTCCGAAAACAATTCCAAAATAATTTTATCCTTAAAATTACATACGAAACTATTAATAGCAATAAAATTCCTTTTCTAGATATAATTATAAACACATAACAATAAATTCACGATCTCCACATATAAAAACCTACCAGCATAAATTCGTGCACCTTTAACTATAAGAGTTAATGTCCTAATTACTATAAAATAGAAATTATAAAAAACTAATAAACCATGCAAACGTTAACTCACCCACAAAATACATTTTCTACAGCAAACTAAAAAATATAAAACAAACTCTTATTAATAATAACTTACTTAATTATATTGTTGATGAACAAATAAGATGTTCTATCAGAAATTTTAATACACAGCAAATAGAACATAATACTTCTTCAACTAATCCCAAACATATCAATCTTTTATATCATAACCAAATATATTCTGATTAGGCAAAAATACCGTTAAAATATAATAAATACTAATATATCCACTACAGACACTAGTAAAAAATAAATAAAATTAATTAAATACTACACTAAATCTAGTATTTCTAATTTAATTATTCGTAATGACACTTCCCCACGAACTAACGTGTTGCATTATACCAACATTGTATATAAATTTAAATGTCCCCCCCGCAAAATATTGTATCTTCAACGGAAAATAATATTTAAGTTGGCCACACTACGACTACGTTGTCTCTGCGGTTGAGGTTTCATTAAAATGATGCGTCCAACATTTCTAAACATTTATGACAGTATACCTGTCCACATTCGCAATTCAGAAAAATTCTTATTGAAAATACATCTATATTTTTTCATAAAAATAATAAATATAAACAAACATTTTTTGAAGTTCTCTGTATTAAAAACTTGAAACCAAATCTCAATAAAATTATGAAAACTGCACAAATGATTTAAAATGTGTACAGTAGAGTGTTTAAAATATCGAGGTCTGTCTGAAGAGTTTTTCATACTTATTCTTTTTTTTAAAAAAAAAGTTACAACACCTCATAACTTAGTTACCTCCCCTGAAGCCTTACTTTGGTAATTGTATTAAAGTCGGCGTTCTTCACTTCACCAGTAAACATTCAAATGAACACAGAAATATTTTCTTTGAAAATGACGAACGCTACCATATTTGTTCTGAAAAAAAAAAACAACATCCTGATGATGACACTGTGAAAATGTCGAAAGTATTCCTAATAAATAACATATACCTACACGGTAATATTCTCTCTTTAATAATGACACCAAAAAGCTTGTCCGTGAATATGAAATGATCCAAGTGAAAATAAATAGACAAAATTATTCAGTGAGACATATCTATCTATCTCTCTCTCTCTCTCTCTCTCTCTAAATATATATATATATATATATATATATATATATATATATATATATATATATATATATATAATGTAAAAATCAAACACTAATATTCCATGGTTTATAATTTATTACATTAGAATCGTAATCACGATCCAATACTGGATCGTGATTTCGATTCAATGTAATAAATTATAAACCATGGAATATTAGTGTTTGAATTTATATTATATTCTTACTCTGTCCTGGACATTGAGTTCTATCCACTTGGGAATTTATATATATATATATATATATATATATATATATATATATATATACAGTGTAACCCGGATATAAGAGAAACCCGGATATAAGAGATATTTTCTCTGGCCCAAAATTAGAGCCTGTGTTAATGTATATAAAATAGATCAAACCCGGATATAAGAGAAACCCGGATATAAGAGACTTCTTCTCCGGTCCCGACAACTCTCTTATATCCGGGTTACACTATATATATATATATATATATACGTGTGTGTGTTTGTGTGTGTATGTATACACTTGTTTTCAAGTGAAAACAGTTTGATTTTGACTACTTTTTAGGTGTTTTCCTGACTTTGCAAACAACAAACTGTATTTAATATACTTTCGTGAAAGCTACCAAAACTTTTTGCAAACAGTTGCTTCCGAGCAAAAACAGTTCGATTTTGACTACTTTCTTGATGTTTTCTTGACTTCGCAAACATGCTCTCACAGAGCTTCTGCAGAGATACATCTTTTCACCATTTCTGTTCATGCGGTTTGGGGGTTTTGTCATTAGAAAATCTATTGGAGCCCCAAACCATTGAATCAAATGAAGACCTGGAATGTTAGCGAGGCTGGACTTTTCAGACGATAGTTCAAGATTGGTCTTCGAATCAGCAATCAGAAGACCAAATGATGGTTATTGGAGAAGTCCAGCAACAACGTCTTGATGGATGGCCAGGCACTAGAATCTGTTGATGAGTTCACCTATCTAGAATGTAACATGTCACAAAACGTTGACTCACGGAAAGATGTGGAGAAAAGAAATGGAAAAGGTGTAGGTTTCTTCAGACGCATCAGAATGATTTCGTCTGGCAGTTCCTTCAATCAGGGTACTAAACTCTAGCTGGATAATTCTATTGTCATTTCAACGGCTGTCTATGCCAGTGCGATATGAAAGAAATCCAGCGAAATCTGCCAGGGCGTAAACGTCTTTCATCGACGATACTTGAAGACCATACTAGGGAACTCATAACGAGACCACACGACTAACACTGAGCGCATGAAGAGATCAGAATCACGGTGCATGGCGGAAGATGAGTGGTCATGTGTTGTGGATAAATTCGACAATACCAGTGTGAACTTCTTTGGACTGGAAGTCAGATGAGGGACCTATGTAGAAGGGCAGCCAGTTCATGACCTGGAGGAAAGCCACAGAGGAAGACCTGGCTGAGATGAAGTTGAGCTGGAGAGAAGCTGCAGAGAAATCGTTCTGGATGGAGAGTTTTTGTCACCAAAAGTTTCACAGGGACAGGGATTAACTATATATATATATATATATATATATATATATATATATATATATATAAATTCATGAATCATTCATACAAGAAACAAATATAGAGGTTAATGTTTTAAATGGTGAGAATACATCTTCGCAAACAATATCAATAAGATACACCAACGCCGAACATGTACATGAATGATACGATCCCTGTTTATAAATTCCAGTTGCATAAGGTCTTTTTAATTTTTTACAAGCTTTCGTCTGTTCCTACAGACATCCTCAGGTATGGAAATAGATTTGTTCTTGTTTTTTACTTCTCGGTAATAAGAGGACAACGAAAATAGAGATGTAATCCGAAAAAAGGCTATGAGAAATGTGTTATTGTTTTGGAACGTGCGGTCGCAACGCTGAGTTTGAATTTTAAATTTTAAGGTTGTGCGTTTTTGTACAAATATAGTAATAAGAGAATTCTTTTTAACTGGTAGGTTTTCCGTCAATGTGGCATGAACTATATTGTTCAATAATTACAGTAATATCACACTTATTATCCGAAAGTTGCACGTTAGATCAGTTATTTTGATTTCAATTATAGGTGCAATTATAATTCATGAATCATTCATACAAAAAACAAATATAGAGGTTAATGATTTAAATATAATTTCATATATAATTTTAATATATATATATATATATATATATATATATATATATATACAAAAATACTTTGACACTAAAACAAGGTAAAATGTCCATATAAACATATGTCCAAAAGCCATCATTGTACCACATAACAAATGTCCAAAATGTCTTCCACCTGCATTTACACACGTATGACATTTTCAAATACTACCACACGCTATCGAATGGTTTTGCAGACCCCCACAACACGTTCATGAAGCGTCTCCGCATTATTAATGTCTGCCGCATAAAGAAATTGTTTTAGGTGGCCCCACAGATATAAATCCAAAGGATTGGGGTCAAGGGAACGTACAGGCCACACCTCTCCTGCCCCTTTATCTTTCATGTTAGATGTCAGCTAAGCCATCGCGAACAATGTGACTAAAATGTGCTGGAGCTTTATCATCCATAAACCACATGCGTCTTCGTATTAGCAGGGGTACATCTTCTAGCAAGTTTGGAAGTGTATTCGAAATAAACTCCCTGTAAGATGTACTGGGAGAACATATGAAACTGCCAGACGGTCACCCACGATTCCAGCCCATACATTAATCTTAAACTGATGTTGGTGTCTCGGCTATATTGTGCCATGGGGATTCCTATCCGCCCACGAAATTTTGGTTGAGTAAATCTGTTATTCTATCTTTTTCAAATGTTCCCTAAACAAGATGAAGTGACAAACAACGGATCGGCAGTCTGTGCAGTAAACCATCGGCAAAAAGTTCTCTCGTGGTGTGGGATCAGAGTGCTTTTAAAAGACCTTCAACACGTTTCAAATGATAAGGATACAGGAACTGATTTTGAAGTACCCTGTATGTGGTACTATGAGATGCACGACATGCTAAGGCTACTTAACATGTGCTGATAACTTTATCGTTTCTGACAGCCTGTAGAATGTGTTCTTCGTGGTGAGGCGTACGAGCTGATCTCCGTTTCCTCAATCCATAGTTTGTGGTGCTACGGATCCTGTCTCAGCGACAGGACGATAAACAGCAGCAAAGTTTGGATGACTCGACTGCCTTCGGTCTGGAAACGCAATCTGATACAGCCCTGTAGCCTCGCGCCCATTACTATTCGCGCGACCGTATGTAAAAATCATACCTGCCTGCTTACGGTATGAATTCATTTTATTTAATCAACAGGCATATCCGTTGCTTTTGTCTAGGGATATCATATTTCTCCGATTCCCAATTAGTCGAAGGTATTGAACTCATAATTGCTACAGAATCAAATTCAGAAACCAACGCTCTCATCCACTAGGCTATTCTCCCGTGGGACAATCCTGAGTAGGGAACTTGGGAACTAAAACCTGATCTGCTTGATGCCATGATTGTTGCTGACATCGCTTGTCACGCTTGACTGCACCACATCATTTGGGTTGTATACCCACCCTAACTCTCTTCTGGGGAGGTTGACGAGGTCGATTCCATGACGAAGCTGCATTCTTCTCTCGCGGTCGTCTTCTCCCGGTTGTCTATCGAAATGTTTTGGAGTTCGGAGGTAAAATGAAAATTTCATCAGAAAGGATTTTTAAACTTATCAATTTTATTAAACTAGCCAGTGGAGTCGCTCTATCAGATCCACTGGGGAGCAAGTTCCCCAAGGCACGAAATAACTACGTCTAATGTGTATGACGTGTAAAACTTGATTCTCTGAAAACACTTTCTATCTCTCTAACGTTCGGCTCAGCCAATCAAAATCGACTTCCCTATTTTGTCTACCAGCTGGCCCTAAGGTCAGCCTCAGAAGGTCTAAGCCAAATACACTGCCATTAAAAAATAATTGTCTGAAACTATTATTTAATATTCCTTACCTAACCATCAAAAAAATTCATTTATGGATTTTATTTCAACAACATTATATTTAACAGTTGCACTCTGGCTTTTTAGCGGTAAGAGGACATAATGGTAACTCGTCATCCCAGAAATTTAGAGAGAAATAATTCAAGCAATTATCTCAGCGACACGACAGAATCTCTCATTGTTCCTCCTATTGTTCAATGAATATTGCAGCATTGTCTGCGGGTTGTTAATCGATTAATATCGATTATCACTTTTTGCTGTTTGATCGCCTCTTTGTCAGCACCTCCCGGTGAGCGAAGGGGCGATAACTCAGCCATTGATGGGAAGCAATCGAGGTATATTCATTTTATATTCAATTTAAAAACGCATTGTAAAATCCATACAAATCTAATGTTCATGGGTCAGGCGTTAGAGGAAATGCAAAAAAGAAAGTCATATTTTATTTCACCAGTATGTAAAGTGCAATGATTATTCAAATGCCTACACTTACATGTAGGTGACTGTGTCAATTTTTTGAGTATATGTATCTACTAGTGAGTTAGCCCAAATGACTTGACTCACTTTATAGTCCACCAATACAAGGTTAACCAATCAGATGACATAGAATATTCAATCCGTCGTGTATAAAGGCGGCCATTTTGTTTACTCTACCCGAATGTCCAGAGCCAGTTTGTCAGGCGAAGAGGAACAGAAGGACGAACTACGCTCTGCTACTTTTACCAAAATATCCACTGCTAACCTGAACAACGCTTTCCTACTGTCTTCGAAATATTCAATGCTAACCTCTGGATTCTATACTCGAAGACGACCGTCATCATGAACAACAGATAAATCTTAGGTGTTTGTCTAGAATATTTGCGTGATGTGTATCTGTGGATTATGTTTTTAATTGCTTTTTCATTCTGTTTATAATTAGTGTGCAGCTGGTTATGATAGGATAAGTTAATGGTGCGTTCACACACACACACACACACACACATATATATATATATATATATATATATATATATATATATGAAGGCTTACGTGTTTTTTGGGTATTATGTTTAGTAGTGAGCTATCCCAAATGACTTCACTCGATTTATAGTCCACTAATAGAAGACGTAGAATATTCAATCCGTCATGTATAAAGGCGGCCATTTTGATCACTCTATCCGAATGTCCAGAGCCAGCTTGTCAGGCGAAGAGGAACAGAAGGATGAACTACGCTCTGCTACTTTTACCAAAATACCCACTGCTAACCTGAACAACGCTTCCCTACTGTCTTCGAAATATTCATTGCTAACCTCTGGATTCTATACTCGAAGACGACCGTCATCATGAACAACAGTGACTAATATCGTAATAGACCAATAATCACATCTGCAAAATGCAACAAATATGGTATCTATTCAGTGTGACGATAAATATTTGCACTTACCGGAGTCGAAGCGTCCAAGATGTTTTGCTTGTCGGGTTGCTGTTTTATGATGGGTATGTGCATAAAACCAAGCTTGACAGTTTGTCATTTCGTCAACTGCACCCTTTCCTCTTGCACGTGTGGTCCAAGAAAAGTACATTCTTCGACATTTGTTTATTTTATGCTGCTTGGCACGATTTGTTTAGTGGTGGTCTGCATTCTGATTGGTCGAGCTGGGGACTCTGATTGAGAACGAGGCCAACGGCGATGATTGGTGCATTGGCCGTGTTTTTGGTCAATAAAAACGGTTTGGGACATTGGCTGCCAGTGCGACTGGGACCGTGGTGACGTGCACTGCTATAGAGGTTCGTATTAAGTTACGACTCTGTTTATTTTTGTCTGGAAGCTGGACGCTAGCTTCAAACCTACGGCTAGAGTGAGCGGTGTAATTACCGGTGTCTACCGAAACGTGGGAAGAACACACTGAACTTCAACATTCAGCAAATTGCCGGAAGACGATTAGAGAGGTGTTGAGCAAGGTCCAAGAGCCACCCGAGGTAGATGGTTACAGATTGAGAGGCACAGTTTATGGGGATATGTGGGGAAGATAGCGGATAAATATAGATTTGAACTGGTTAAGATTGTCGTGATGGGGGAAGCATCTTCTTGGATGTCCGTTCCGAAAAACAGCAGTCTAAGATTTGTGGGATCAGGATCTAGCGTCCCGAAACGCCTATCCTCCTTTACCTTCTCCTCGTCTTTATCTCTTCTTTATCATCTGCGTCTTTTTCTTCTTCTGTTTCTTCTTCTTCATCTCCATTTACTTCTTCATCGTCATCATCATCTCCATCTGTTTCATCATCATCTTCATCATCTTCATCAACATCTTTACCGCCATCTTCTTTATCATCATCATCATCTCTATCTGCTAATTCTTCTTCTTCTTCTTCTTCTGACTCTTCATCTTTCTCTTCATTTTCTCCTTCTTCTTCTGCTTCTTTATCTACAACTTCATCTTCTGCTGTTTCGCCTTCATTTTCATCTTCATCATATTCTTCTTCTTCTTCTTCTACTTCTACTTCTTCTTCTTCTACTTCTACTTCTTCTTCTTCTGCTGCTGCTGCTGCTGCTACTTCTTTATCTACAACTTCCTCTTCATGTTCTGCTTCTTCGTCTTCATTTTCATCTTCATCATCATCTTCTTTCTTCTTCTTCTTCATTTACAAGTTCTTGATTTTCATCTTTTTCTTCTTCGTCACCATCTTCTTTCTCTTCATCATCTTTTCAAAAAGAAAAAGTTGGATTTCTCTCAGGTAGGAACACACGAACAAGAATCAAAAGATTAACATTTGTAAATAAATTTTATATGACAAAATACAAAATGCAAATCATGGGAATGATTGAGTGATAGATGTGCAATTAATAAAAAAAACACTTAACTGATATTGGATACCAGTTCAAAGGTTTCTGTTTCAGGAATTTGGAGTTCAAAGCTTTGTAATTACAGGCAGACAAAGTTGGTGTAGAATCATCACAAAAGTTGGTTGTTTTTGTTTTTCTTCCGTAAGGTTAAATATAGAATGCCGGAATAATATTTGTGTTCTATTTCCTCTTGGTTAATTGGATTGCATCGAAGATAAAAGTAAGGTGATTTCTTTGTATTTCTTTGAATATGATTTTCTTTTATCCTTTACACATTAAATAGTCATATAGATCCAAGATGTCGGAGCGAAACTTCCTTATTCCTTACACAAAAACTAATGGAATAGACCTATGGGTGTATTTCTCATACCCTTACGATCGGATGGTGAGAGTCTATTTTTCTCGCGAACTGTTGTCATCAGAGAACGTTGGGAAACTAAAATTACAATACCAAAATCCCTCTTGATGTATATCACATGAGCGTTGTCGGCCGATTCTTACATCATTTCTTATGAAGTCATACTGTTCGTTGTCAAGCAATCCCAAATTCTCTTCCATATATTTTATTTTGTTGTCAAGTGACCCTAAATTTCTTTCCTGACTTTTCTTCGTCTAAACAAGTCTCAGTCTATTTAGGTAGTAAAAGAGAGAGAGAGAGAGAGAGAGATAAGCGAAAGAGAAGAAGGGGGAACACAAACAAAGCGTGTCCCTTATCAAATTGATTGTACATCTGATTTACCAGTTAACATTGAGGGCCATGCCCCACAGATAAAAGCGCCGTTTGAAATAGTCGAAGCGGGGAGTGGGTGGATGTTTTTAATTTCAACGTGCCGGTTCAAATAAACGTTCCGATTCGAGTTTTTTTTTTAAATTTAAAAAAGTCGAAAGAAAAATACTCGTATGAGAATTTTTTTATTTTTTTTTTTTTAAAAAAAGAAAAAAAAAGCGAACCTGTAAAATAAGCACAGTTCTGGTGAGAGTGGATGTGCGGATGGTGCAACGGATTCAAATAAACGTTCCGGCTTAATTTTTTTTTTTTTTTTTTAAAATTTTAAATAATGTGAAAGAAAAATACTTGTACAAGAAAGAAAATCATTTTTTTTTAAAAAAGCGAACCTGTCAAAAAAGTATTGTTCCGGTGAAAGTGGATGTGCGGCTGGTGCAACGAATACCGGCGAGGGATGAGAAATCGGAGAGCCGCGTTCGAATTCCAGTCGTTTCTTTTATTCGAAATAGTATCTTAGGCAAATGCATTAATCAGCCTCGTCGCTAAATAATCGGACAGGCTATGCTCTTTAACTTCTATTGGCAACCAGCCTGGAAGAATTAAGAAGTGTATATTATGAGACTAAGAAAATAGAGTGACCAGTGAAAAGATAGGATTCCAACTAAGTTCGCTTCCGGAAAGAGGGAATATATATATATATATATATATATATATATATATATATATATATATTATATATAATATAATAATCAGAAATTGAGCAGATATGAATGAATGAGAGAAAATCATGGAGAATTGTGTTTAAAAACAGTAAACTCGACCTTGCTAACCGAACGTTCCTCTGTGGCCGAATCGGTTAAGGCACATCAGGCTATATGAAGGTTTCGTATAGGATACAGTTTCGATTCCTGTAGGAGGACGCATATTTTCCGTGAAAATTTCTTGGGCGTTCAGGTTTATTATAAACAGAGCATTTATTTAAATATTTGTATCTACAGTACGTCTAAATATAAAACACGTCTCTCTCTCTCACACACACACACACACACACACACATATATATATATAGTTAACTCTAGAGAGCCAGACAAGCCATCTAAGCGGATCGTCAGGTGAAAACGATGGTAGGTTTGTCTGGCTCTCTAGATTTAACTAGGTCTGCTCTATTGTACTGAGCACTTTTTTTAGTTGTCTTGGGTACTCGAATCGGGGTTATTTTCTTTTGGTCTTGAACTCGTATGCTGGACGATTATTTTCGGTTAACGTACATGTCCTTGGCTCTTTCTTTTTTATACTGTTTTTTTTTTTACCTTTAGTATTGGCTTGTTTATTTGCAAATCAATACAGCGAAGGTTTTTCGGAGCGAGTATAGTTTCTTATAAGATATATATATATATATATATATATATATATATATATATATATATATATATCAACATTGTTTATTGTCTATCTGTCTATCAAGTTAGCTAGCTGTTCATATCTATCGATCTAATTTTGCTTGTTCATTATCTATCTATCTATCTATCTATCTATCTATCTATCTATCTATCTATCTCAGTCTGTTCATATCTATCTTTCTATCTATCTCTCGATCTAATTTTGTTTGTTCATTATCTGTGTAAAATTTTGCCTGTTCATTATCTATCTATTTCAATCTCTTCATATCTATCTATCAGATCTGTTAATATCTGTCACATCTTTTCATATGTATCAAATTGCGTCTGTTCATATCTATCTATCTATCTATCTATCTATCTATCTCACTCTATTCATATCTATCTATCTATCTATGTCTGTTCATATCTATCCATCTATCGTTCTAATTTCGCCTGTTCATTATCTATCTATCTATCTATCTATCTATTTTAGTATGTTCATATCTAATTTTTATCTGTTTGTTTTGCTGTCTCTTTCTATCTGTTCATAACTATCAAATTTGTTCATATCTATCACGTCTGTTCAAATTGTGTCTGTTCATACCTATGTTCATATCAATCCCTCTATCGCTCTATCTAATTTTGCCTTTCTATCTATCTATCTATCTATCTATCTATCTATCTATCTATGTTCATACCTATTTAATTTTTATCTGTTCATTATCTACCTATCTGCTTATCTATCAATCTATCTGTTTATCTATCTATCTATCTATCTATCTATCTATCTATCTAAGCGTTTTAAAATTTTTAAGGAGAATGGCAGGGCAAAGTTTCGTCCGGGGAGATAGACAGGCCCTGAACCCGTTTAGGCGGGTTTAAAGGGTATATTTTTGACCGAGACTACGGGCTCGGAGTACCCACAATAAACCGGCCTTGTGCCATATACACCCTCGTTGGGCGGGGGCTGTTAAATATTAACAGTCGCATAGATTGTTCAACTGTCGAACTCTCTGCCTCAACAGAGAGGAACCCAGACGAAGCTTTGCCACAGGGAAAAGTTTCGTCCGGGGAGTTGGACAGTCCCAGAACACGTTTATATGGGTTCTAATGGAATATTTTTGGCCGAGCCACAATAAACCGGCCTTGTGCTATATACATTCCTCGTTTGTTAAATATAACAGTCGAATAGATTGAACACTGGGTCAACCGACACACACTCACTAGTCGTGTAATAGTATTGTGTTGAATTTACTGTTTAATATATGATATATCTGCAACATTAATATCTATCTTTATATGTATCTATCTATCTTCATATGTATGTACCTATCACTCTCTCTGCTCAGATATCTATCTATTTATCTATCTCTGTATCTCATCCCGCTCCTTTCTATCTATCTATCTATCTATCTATCTATGTCTGTTCAGATATCTATTTATTTATCTCTATATCTCTATATCTCATCTTGTTCCTATCTATCTATCTATCTATCTATCTATCTATGTCTCTGCCTTTTTACTTTTACATCTATTAAAATAATTTTGATTAAGGGGTGTGATATTTGTAAAAGGGGACGTAGAAAGACGTGTAGACTCTGACGGGGGTTAAGGAGGATAAATGACCCAAGGCTCAAGTCTCTGTGTAATTTTTCTTTTCCCCTTCGGAACACCGATGAAAGGAGGAGAATTCGACTCCGTGGAAGTCACATAGCGTGTCCTATCTTTGAAGAATGGAAGCTTATCTGAACATTTGTCAGCTGGTAGATCGGGATATTTGATTTGCGTGCAACTAAATGTGACTTTTAACCTGTCCAGAGTCGGAGTAAATTAATTCTGATTTTTTTTTATCAAGTAAACGACATATATTTAAAGATTATTTTTGTCTTTAATTCTTTTAAAAAAAAATCGTTTTCTTGCCATCTTGAACTTGGGGGGGGGGGTGGACTCGTTGTCAGAGTTCATTGGAAGATAAGCGAGACATATGTAAATAGACTTTCGTTGTCGTAACGAAGCTAATGTGATTCAGTTCGGTGTTAAATGTCAACCAGATTTCGTGCCTCTGTTCAATTTTTTTTTTTCTATGATGATGCTTTTTATTTCTGTTTTTTAATTTTTTCATTATTTAAAATTCTGTTTTATTTTATGTTTGATTTTTTTATTTTATTTTTGATTTCTCTTACATTTCTCAACCGCCATGGATTTCTTTTCGAAAATGTATTCGTCTGTCGTTTTATGTTGTCCTTACCTTTCATCGTTCACTTTGTATTCAAATCGTCTGCGTCTGGGGTTTTTTTTTGTTGTTTTTTTTTTAATTTCTAAAATTATTCCTAGGTCTTCAACTCTATCCATTTTTTTTTTTCTGAATACTTGCTCTTTGCAATTTTGCAGATTGATGATGTCATTGTGTCTGTCATTATATTTCCTTTCTTTCTTTTTACTCTGCCTCACCTCTCACGAACTAACTCTTTCCTTCTATCGTCCACTTTCTTTCTTTCTTTCTTTCTTTCTTTACCTTTCTAATTATGATTTTCTTTCTTTCGTGCTTTTATTCATTATGTTACTATTATGACTTTATTTTTTCTTTCATTACATTTCTATTATAATTATCTATCTATTATGATTCTCTTTATTTCTCTCTTTCTTTTTTTCATTATCTCACTATTATGATTTTCTTTCTTTCTTTCTTTCTTTACCTTTCTTTCTTTCTTTACCTTTCTATTATAATTTCCTTTCTTTCTATATTTCTTTCTGTATTTATTTACTGTCTCCTCGTTTTTTTATTATTTTTCAAAATCTCCTCCTCATTTTTCAGACTATTCCATATTTAATGCATTATCTATCTATCTATCTATCTATCTATCTATCTATCTATCTATCTATCTCGGTCTGTTCATATCTATCTATCTATCTATGTCTGTTCATATCTATCCATCTATCGTTCTAATTTCGCCTGTTCATTATCTATCTATCTATCTATCTATTGTTGCCTGTTCATTATCTATCTATCTATCTATCTATCTATCTATTTGTTATACCAGAACATTACCTATTCTATTGTAATAGACTCTCCCACAGATAATAAGTAGTAGTAGCAGTGGCCAGTTGAGCTCTGTGGAGTTGAGTGAGGCAGTCGATGTCGGACATTGAAGTATCAATCCTCACAACTAGATTGCTGCGTCATTAACTCTTATTTCAAGTTCCTAACGTTTTGTACGTTGAACCCTTTTTAGGACCGACTTAGAGAAATACAAGCCTCCACTGTGAAAACTACTCACCAACACTATTGCAGTCTGTTCATTATCTATCTATCTATCTATCTATCTATCTATCTATCTATCGCTGTCTGTTTATATCTATCTATCTATCTATCTATCTATCTATCTATCTAATTATATTCATATCTATTTCCGTTTGTTCAATATCTCTCTATGTCAGTCTGTTCATACCTATCTATCTATATACGTCTGTTCATATTTATCAAATCTATATATCTATCTTGGTCTGTTTCTATCTATCTATCTATCTATCTATCTATCTATCTATCTATCTATCTATCTATCTAAGTATATTCATATCTATTTCCGTTTGTTCATTATCTCTCTATGTCAGTCTGTTCATACCTGTCTATCTATATACATCTGTTCATATTTATCAAAAATATATATACATCTTGGTCTGTTTATATCTATCTATCTATCTATCTCAGTCTGTTCATTATCTATCTCAGTTTGTTCATATCTATCTTATCTATCTATCTTTCTTTCTATCTCTCTATCTATCTGTCACAGTCTGTTCATTATCTATCTATCTATCTATCTATCTATCTATCTATCTATCTTGTTTTCCTTGGTGGATAGATTAAATATTGATCGCCCGTGAAATAAGTTCTGAAAGTCTATCTATCAGACTAAAAGTCGATATTTTCGCACACACCCACCCAAGTATGCCATTCCCCACCTCCCTCTGTCATTATTAATAATATGTCTCGTTAATGAAGAATACTTTGGGTGCGGTCCATTTGCGACAGAGGAAATCCTATTGCGTTTAATTCCCTGGCATCAGTTTTTATACTTCATATTATCCTGTCATTCCAGTTGGCTGGCATCCGTCAAAAAACATCTGACAAACATCCGCTGATGAATGTTCTTCGTCAAAAAACTGATGTTCTTTAAAAAGATAACAATGACACAAGCAAAAAGATGCGTTATTTCGACAAGGCATATATTTTCAGAACTTTTTCATAAAATTTGCATGAACAGAGCTTTAAATCAGTTCAACTACAGAAGCTGGTATGCATAAGAGAAGAGCCTATATTTGTCTATGCTTAAATATAACAACAATATGAAAGATAGAACCTAAGATATTCAGATGATACAGTATTGATACCCGACACAGAAAAAAAACCTATAAAGGCTCCCAGAGAAGGTAATGAAAGAAAGCGAAAAGAAAGGACTAAACATAAAATTCATGAAGACAAAGCGCATGGTTTTTACCAAAAGGATGAGCCCCAAGTGTGAATTTCAAATTTCGAAAATACTAGAATCAAACAGGAGATGAAATTTAAATATCTGGGAAGTGTGTCAAAAGAGGAGAGTAATTGTGACTCTGAAATCGGAAAGCGTATTTGAATGGCCATGCATGTATTCGAAAACGTAACGATAGTATTTACAGACAGAATGACTTCGCTAGAAAGAAAGAAAAGTGTATTGGAGTGTTACGTGATATCTGTCCTCTTATATGGCAGTAAATGCTGGACAGTCTCCTTAAAATTAAGAGACTTGAAGCAACAGAAACAAAGAAAAGTGTACTGAACTGTTACGTGATATCTATCCTCTTATATGGCAGTGAATGCTGGAAAATATCTTAAAAGAAAAAGAAGAGACTTGAAGCAATAGAAACAAAGAAAAGTGTACTGGACTGTTACATGATATCAGTCCTCCTATATGGCAGTGAATGCTGGACAATTTCCTCAAAGATAAAGAAATGACTTGAAGCAATAGAAACAAAGAAAAGAGTACTGAACTGTTACGTAATATCAGTCCTCTTATATGTCAGTGAATGCTGGACAATCTCCTCACAGATGAAGAAGAGACTTGAAGCAACAGAAACAAAAAGCTTAATAGGACACCAAGAGCCAGAGAAACTTCACTTGAAACAAGGAAAAAAGTACTAAACTGTTACTTGATGTCAGCACCCCCCTGTATAGCTGTGAATGCTGGACAATCTCCTCACAGATGAAGAAGAGACTGGAAACAACAGGAATATGGTTCTACAGAAGGATGGTGAGGATATCATGAACCGGACATGTGAGCAACGACCAGGTTTAAAAAAAAAAAAGAAACAGAAAGGAAACTTAGATTTAACATCAGGAAGAGACACTTGCAATTTCTAGGACACACAGTGAGGAAAGTGGGCTTGGAAAATCTGATACTCACAGGACAGAGCGAAGGAAATAGAGACAGAGGACAACAATGCAAGACATATTTAGCAAGTGTGAGTAAATGGATGGCGAGAGAAGGATTAGGAAAGCCTAAGAGAAAGATAAAATTTATTAAGAGCAATGAAGGACAGGAAGGGATGATCGTTTACGCCCTGTGAGGGAATTTCAAAAGGATATCATTTTAAATAAAGATGGCTTTCTAATTTTAGCGCTCGATAGCAAGATATAGATATTTATAAAAAAAATTAAATGTCTACATACATTATTACTAATCTGGAAATTTAATATATAACGAATGGATCCACTCTTCACGAAACTCAGAGTAGGAATAAGATAAGTGAACACTTAAGTTTTATTTACTACTACTACTACACACATACAAATATATATATATATATATATATATATATATATATATATATATATATATATATATATTCACTTACGTGCTAATACCCTTGGGAAAGGTATGAATCCTCTTCCTCTCCTTCCAGCTATGGGTAAAATAGCAGGACAGACTTGGTTCTATAGCCTTGGAAGGCAACTGGTCTAGGAGAAGGACAACTCTGAATTCAAAACCCGCGGAAGGTCGTTTAGGGACCTTGTGGCACTTAGTGCACCAGGTCTCTGTATTCGTCCCTTCAAAAAGTGTGGATGGTCCTGCACGAAGACTTCACCACTATAATCAAATCTCATGTGCTGGTGTCGGTTTCCTGGAAACTGATCTGCTTGATCCACATACGTCGAATCTCGACGGGAGAGTCGACTATATATATATATATATATATATATATATATATATATATATATATATGTGTCATTCGCAGACATTACTGTTTCACAGCCCCACTAGACAACAGAATGCTGTTTCACAGCCCCACTAGACAACAGAATGCCTTAAGCCCGGATCGAAACACAACCGATTTGGTGCCAGTCAGAGCTTCTACCACTGAGCAATATTCACTCGACAGAACGTGTCAGCCAAATCTAGCGTATTGTTTTTACAAATGTGAACAAACGTCAAGCAGCCAAAGTGCTCCATTCTTTTTCTTGAAGAGCTTCGCATTTACTCAGGTGACCGTTGTTTTTAGAATTAGCTTGTCATTCAAGAGTGCTCAATTGAAAATATATATTTTCAAGGGCTAAATTATGTCATTCGCAGACAGTACTGTTTCGATGCATATATATATATATATATATATATATATATATATATGAAAGGGAGCATTGAAGTCAACATTCAACAGAGGTGACAGGCTGTTTCATGCTAAACGCAATCATCAGGCAAGATGATTGCATTTAGCATAAAACAGTCCGTCGCCTATAAGCATTGACTTCGACGTTCACTTTTATATATACATACTTTCTATTTCTGATACTGAGCACTTTACCCCTTAAATATAGCACACCTAAAACTATATATATATATATATATATATATAAAAGGAAGAAGTTATTGTAGTTCCAACGAGAGAAAATGTGTATATTAAAAAGAAGAGAGAAACCGCAAACGTTTTTGGTTTTAATGGGGATTTAAAAAAAAAGATTGTTTTATTTTCCATAATTTTGCTACACGCGTTTCCGGTCTCGTATGTGTATGTGTATGTCTGTGTGTGTGTACAGATGTGTTCACAGATTCCTCGTAGTGAGACAGTGTGTATGTATGGAGAGGGGATACACACATATATACACACATGCTCACAAAAGCACACGAAAATGGAAATAGATCTAAGAACAAACAGGGGTCATTAAAAGAAAAGCATGCCGATAACTACTCCATCATTTCTCGAACCAATCTTAATTGTTTTATAACCCTTCACGCAGAACTTTTCACTGCCAGTTCAAGAAAGACGTTTGGATCACTAACACAAAAAAGAGAATGTCTTATATCGAGAATATTTAACATCGAAAAACATAAAGAAAAAAATTAATTTTTTTTAATAATATGTGGAAATCTCAACCCTTTGCCTGATGACGGTCGCGAGACCGGAAACACGTGTAACAAAATTATGGAAAATAAAGCATAATATTTTTAAAAAATCCACATTACAACCAAAAACGTTTGCAGTTTTTCTCTTCTTTTAAAATATATATATATATATATATATATATATATATATATATATATATATATATATATGGATTCTTTCTCTCTCTGTATAGGTATTTTCTAAGCGACGCTTAGATCTGTCAAAGGTCGAATATATGGAGTACCGAGGATCGGAAGAGGTGGTCCATATTTTCTGTCTTGAGACATACTTAACTTCGCTTTGAAATCCATATATATATATATATATATATATATATATATATATATATATATATAAAATATGGTAAAAAATAGAGATAGAGCGTATGTAAATATAAAAGTGGACACAGATGTCAGCACACTACGGCGACATACTGTTTCATGCTTGAACTCAATCTTCAAGCATGAAACAGGCTTTCACAACTTTGTGTGAGTTCAGTATCTCTCTCTCTCTCTATATATATATATATATATATATATATATATATATATATATATATATATGAGGCACTGAAGACAAATCTAGGAAAAGATTATTTGGAATTACTGAAAAACAGATTCCAGTAATTAGTAAATTACTCCGCTCGAAATGGGCTTTCTCTAAACCATATCACCAACGACCATTCTTGTAATTACACTAATAGATCTATTAGTCCGCTAGAGTGAAAGTACTTAACTACTAACTTCGTTTATCCAGCAATGGTAAGCAGTAAAAACGTTTTACAGATATGCTACACTGAATTAATTAAAGATCATAAGGGTATAAACCCACTGACCATTTTCAATATGAGGGATAATGCAAGTAAAATTAACCGATCTAAATGCATATGAGAGTTAAGAGATCCGGGCAGGATTGAACCCAGATGAGTGATTTAATGAATGTACTCTTTTGTGATCTGCGATTTTGGAAATGTATGAGAAGAAGTCATGTATCCTGTTGTTCGGAGAACAAAATAGACTCCTTCACAAAAATACCGAATTAATCTCGAAATGTCAACCTATTAATAGGTCGACATCTCTTGTGTTATTTACCTCGCGACTGATGATTGGACATTTAAGGTTAAACCTTTGATGAAAGGTCACATTTATACTGGCCGAAAGATATGACTTTGAAATTTGCTGTAAATAATACCTGAAGATCGCTTGCTGCATGAAACATTTATTTGAATGGTCGCTTTTTTTTCGTGGCGGAGGGGTTTGCGTGACCTAATCACTCTGAGAGCGATGCCGTCGAGAGTTCTAATTTCCTGAGAGAAACCAGACTAAACTCGACCAAAACTAACATTTTTTCGTCTTTGCAACACATGTATCACCTTGGCAAATAAGCACTGTCGTATTTGACGACAGATGATAGTCAGAAGGAATAAGTTCATGAGCGTAAGGAGGATGAAGGCTAACTGTTTCTCTTCTAAAACATGTTGCAATGAACTGAAGAGATGATAGTCAGATGGAGTAAGAACAGGAGAGTAAGGGGGATATGGTAATTTTTTTTTTATTTAGTGACTGAATATTTTCAGGAGTAAGTTGATCAATAACGATCATTCAGCTTTCTATCGCTTTTCTTTTTATCGCTATGGATTTTGAATATCCGAGATTATAATAGCAGTAGTTTTGTTATGAAAGGTTATGCGTTGCATGAACCTGGAGGCAAAATTGTCAACGTTAGAGTAAGGATTTTCATGAGGATTCTGTTCACACAGACGCACACACACACACACACACACACAAACACACACACACATTATCTCTATCTATCTATCTATCTATCTATCTATCTATCTCTCTCTCTCTCTCTCTCTCTCTCTCTCTCATTCTTCTATCGTTGTGCACTGATTTTTTCCAACTCAATTTGCATGGTGTAGTGCGCTAGTCTTTTTCTTTCGGCTTACTCATCGTATAGAAACCGGTTAGGGATAAGATAGATAGATAGATAGATAGATAGATAGATAGATAGATAGATAGATAGATACGGAACAGAATTAGATAGATAGATAGATAGATAGATAGATAGATAGATAGATAGATAGATAGATGGGAAAAGAATTAGATAGATAGATAGATAGATAGATAGATAGATAGATAGATAGATAGGGAAAAGAATTAGATAGATAGATAGATAGATAGATAGATAGATAGATAGATAGATAGATAGATAGATGAGGAACAATTAGATAGATAGCTAGATACATAGATTGATTGATAGATAGATGAGGAACAGAATTAGATAGATAGATAGGTACAGACTTGGATAGATAGATAGATAGATAGATAGATAGATAGATAGATAGATAGATAGATAGGTTGACTGGCTGATAGTGTCCCCAGCCAACTCTTTCCCGTGCTTTCTACTTTCGTTACTATAATCTGTTAGCCTTGTTTGTTTGTTTTTTGTTTTGTTTTCTTTTTCTTTATCGCTCCCCCTCTTCTCAGGACTACGATATTTTAGACAAACTTTCTGACTGTATAGAAACCGGTCTCTTGGCTGGAACTGAACTTATAGCCGAATTAGTGTTAAAGTGAGGTTTTAAAGTTCCATGGAGTGAATTGAGGAATTCAGTGTGATTTCACAAAATTTATCATTACTGTTTTCTAATCTGGGACAGAGATCCCTTTAGTTTTGGGCAGTAGGGCCAATTAGTCCTCCGCGGAAACTCGCTTAAATGTTAGTAATAAATATAACTTTAGCCAAAATTTGAACATTGTTCTCTGATTCTGTTTTTAAAACCTGAACCGATATACCTCATTGCACTTCCTTTCTTTCTATCATTGCCTTAAACTGTTTCTTTTTTTTCATTACTCGTTTCAGAAGCCGAATATAGCAAGAAAGAAGACAACATTCAAATGTCTGTGTTCAAGGAAACGAGCCGTATCAACACGAGTACGAATGGCACACGCAATAGCTACACGATGGGTAACAGTGAGAACCCGACGCGCGGCACGAGATGCTACCGCCGTCGCTATGATATCCAATCCGGCATGAGGCAGTCAAACATCGAGAAGAACGTTGCGGCGAAAAAGAGAGTCATCAAGATGTTGTGCGTAGTTGTCCTCGAGTATTTCATCTGCTGGACACCGCTTTTCTTCACGCAGACATGGAAGGCTTTCGACCAACGGGGTCTCCTGGCGAGGATATCGCCCGTTGGCGTATACTTCATCCACCTTCTTTCTTACGTCTCCTCCTGCTGCAATCCTATTACTTACTGCTTCATGAATAAAAAGTTTCGGCAGGCATTCCTGTCGGCCTTCTGCTGTTTCCGGAAGATGAAGAGTAGTTACAAGAGAAGAGAGAGTATCGTGTCTGGAAATACAGGCATGTCGCTCAAGTCGAATTTTACCGACGCCCCAACACAATTCGATAAAATTCAGGAGTATAACAACATCAACGACTCGGACGATTTTTCAGAGTAAAATCTTCCACACACACACACACACACATATATATATATATATATATATATATATATATATATAAATGGTGTTCCAATAACTTAGACCGATTTTAAATGTGAATTAAGTTTAAAATCGTTCCAAGTTATTGGAACACCCTTTATATGAATTACATAAAAATGAAACCCTATTATCCCATTCATATGACCATTTCAACCCCGGGATATTCTCCCCGAGGCTTGTCAATGCAAAAACGTTTTTGCATTGACAAGCCCCAGGGATAATATCCCGGGGTGGTGGTGTAATGGTGTACTAGGGTTTCATTTTTATGTAATTTATTCATATGCTCTATAATAAATATATCGAGCTCTCTTTTGTGGATCAGTTTTAATATTTTATATTATTAGGATCTACTTGGATTACTTACCCACGAATTTTTACACACACACACAGACACATTAGTTTGGTGCAAAAATAATGACGTAATAATGTCGTTTTTCACGTATTTTTTGACGTCAAAAAACGACATTATTACGTCATTATTTCTGCACCAACCTAATATATATCTATATATGTTTCATTGATTAATATAGACATTGTATCATCTACTTATTATTATACTGATCCTTTCTAGTTGTCTAATCAGTTTCTTGATGTTACGATGAAATTCATCAAGAAAGGCGCCGTAGTTTTTTTTTTTAATCCAAGTACTTTCGACATTTTCTAAGTTCATCTTCAAGGGTAAATTACGAAGACAAACATTTTGTAAAATCTGCATTCCGTTGTCATAGTGATGTGTAAAATCACGTGCGAAGGCGCTCTGTAACAGTTTTTCAAGAATTTTTAATTTTATTCCGGGTAGTTACGAAAACGTTTCAATACAAGGGGGATATTTTTTTTTTTAGGCATTTCACCCCAAGCAAGGCGGGAATGCCACTAGTACGCAAAAGGGGTAACAGAGAATGTAAGCAAGCGAAAAGACTGGGTATAGTGGGGTGATGAAAGGATAAAATGAAAACAGAGAAGGTTAAAAAAAAAAGAACGAGGATTAAGTCAACATGTTGGAATTGGTAGAAATGTAAAATGGTATTAGTAAATTTTATTATACACTCTTTAATATGTTGTTGTTATGTTCGTAATAAATTTTGTTTAGTGTTATCTCAAAATAAAATAAATTATAAATAATTCTAAAACAGAATAAGACAAAATTTCTTACGAATATAGCAACAACAATATAGTTTATTCTATTATAGAAACGCCAGTAATCACACAAGTCAAAGTTGTTAGACGCAATGCGGCGCTTCATTCTCTGGGTAAACAAAGATTTAGCTTCTTCGAGGTCACTTTCACATTTATTACGTGCAGCCAGTAATAGGTAGATGCTGTGATCAGAACTCTCGTGCTGGTATAGCCGGAAATAGTGATGGCTGTGAGCCATAGCGTCATAATATGATGCCGTGAACCATGGGGAAGGTTGAGGTTTCACATGATATTTCTGAGAAGGAGTAAAAGTATCTATGTCAGCTTTGACCCAAGAAGAAACATTACTGGCGCAATTCTCAATAGAAATGTTAAAAATATCAACCCAAGAAGCGTCTTGAAGAAAGTCACGAAGTGAATCCCAATCAGCATGAAAAAGTCTTATGTCAGAAAAAGGTCTTATGTTAAAAAAAAATTTAAACGACGTCACCTTCCTTGGTGAATTTCAACTTAACACCAAGAACCTGATTAGACAACTGCAATGGATCAGTTTAAAAATGAGTAGACACAATATCTCTATATTATTCAATGAAACATATTTGAATGAAGATACGCTGCTCAAATGAAAGTAATTTCAAATAATATGCTTCATTCATTTATTAACAACATTAATAGGGCCTGTTTTATTTGCTAACTGCCTCTTGAATGGATTTCTTGGGCACTTCCCAACGAGGTCATTGGTCGATGCTTGGGCCGAGATAATTTTGTTGATTTTAAAGTCAGGCCTGCTATTACAATTTTAAAGATTGACGTAACAAAATCTTACAACATATGATTTTCCATCTTTAAATTTGTGTCGTAAAACATTAAGCTTTATTCATAAACTTTGTCGATGTTCTATCTTGTGTTTGAGACAGTGGCTCATTTCCCACTGAAGACAGTGATCGGCGTTCAATCCCATGACGAAAACAGGATTTCCAAATGCTGATTGACAATTACGAATCCGGTTATCGAGTTTTGTAAATAGGTATGAAATATACGATATTCATTTACCACGACATTCTTATTTATAGAGACCTTCATCATATATATATATATATATATATATATATATATATATATATTCAAGCATGTTTCACTGAATAATATAGACATATATCTATTTATTTTTATAATAATCCTTTCTAGTTCTCTAACTTGCTTCTTGATGTTAAGCTGAAATTCATGAAGGAACCTAAGTACTTTGGATCTCCTCCGAAATCATCCTCAGGGGTGGATGACTAAAGTAAACTTAATGCAGCTTTGACCGTTATGACGTTGACATTTGAGGATGATCTCGATGGAGATCGAAAGTACTTGTGTTAACAAAAACTACGGCGCTTTCCTCGATGGATTTCACCTTAACATCAAGAAAATAATTAAAGTACTAGAAAGGATTCTAATGAAAATCGTCATAACATGTCTATATTGTCCAGTTAAACATGCTTGAATGAAGATATACTGCCCCCACACACGCGCATATATATATATATATATATATATATATATATATATATATATATATATATAAAGAGAGAGAGAGAATTTATACAAGTAAAAGGTCTGTTGCTTATCTGATTGCTGTTACTTTCAACATCCCGATTTCAGAGTTTCGCAGACGGACCCTCCGGGAAAAAACTCCGTCCATTTGTCAGAGGGGATCAGCAATAGACTGCTCATAATTCTCAGTTTTTTTATATGTACTTTTCATTGGTGCATATTTGTTATATTTGTTATATGTTTATATGTGCGCGCGCGCGAGTGTGTGTGTGTGTGTGTGTGTGTGTGTGTGTGTGTGTGTGTGTGTGTGTGTGTGTGTGTGCTTGTTCGTGCACGTGCGTCGATTTGGCGGTCATCGTGTATGAGCGTCCGTGTAGAATGTCGTGTCCATTTTTCTTTACGCCGATTTTCTTTTTTTTTGATTTTTTGTTTTTTTGACTGAGGTGGACACAGGGGTTAATGCCGAGCGGCGACAACGTTTCCTGCTTGTACACAATCTTCAGGCCATCAATTTACACACGCACTATCTCTGATTTAGGGAGCTTTATCCATAAATATAGCATACGTTAAAAATATATTTTATCGTAAGGGTAATAATACGTTGCTTTTTTTCCATTTTAACATTCTGTGTTGTTTTAACGTCTGCGTAACCGATTTAAAGGAAACAAAATAGAATTGAAAATTCGAAATATAACTCAAAAATACTTCATTTCCGAAAAATTTCTGGTGAGTCTAAATTAACGAAAAATTTTTAATTTAAGTGTTCATACTTGTAATCTCTCTCTCTCTTTCTCCCTCTCTTTCTCCCTCTCTCTCTCTCTCTCTATATATATATATATATATATATAATTTAAAAGAAAAATCAGGCCACTTTAAGGTTCCATTGTTATAATTTATTTCACCAGAGATTATATATATATATATATATATATATATATTATTTTAAGACATGTTTTATGTTTATAAGTTCTTTTTTTATGGATACAAATATTTAAGTAAATGCTCTGTTTTTTATAATAAGGATTATTAACGGCATTTACCGGCCTGAATGTCCTAGAAATTTTCAGGCCGGTAAATGTTAGTATTTTTTATTATAAAAAAACAGAGCATTTACTTAAATATTTGTATCTATAAAAAGAATGTATAAACATAAAAAATGTCTTAAAATAATAGTCGGACGTTTTCCATTTCATAATCTATCTATCTATCTATCTATCTATCTCTCTCTCTCTCTCTCTCTCTCTATATATATATATATATATATATATATATATATATATATATATATATATACCATGTTAAACAGCAAATCTGTCCAAATCGTGTGGCAGTAAAATTGTCTAATTGATAGATTAAGCTTTGAACCGTTCTATCTTAGAAATGATTAAAGATATTTTACTGGAATTCTTCGAGGTTTTATAACACTATTGAATTCTACTTTGAACAATAACAAGCTATTTATTTAATTTTACTCGTGTTCGTAGAAAAGTTTTCGTTTTGGATATGCTGGCCCAACGGTATGATGATTGGGTTGTATCGTAACAGCCCGGGTTCGATTATCAAATTCGGCAGAGGATGCGCATAGCTGATGAGTCCCAAAATGGACGAAACGGCGGCCCATTGCTTTTCTGCACGTGTGCGTGTTGAGGATTCTAGGTCTTGACATGATGAATTATTATGAACAATTATATATATATATATATATATATATATATATATATATGGCTGTCATAAAAAAAAAATTAGTGATTATTCGATTTATTAAGCACTATTTAGCTCTGTTGAGCGAGGTTCGAAATGGGTTAGCTACCCGGTTTTTCAGTTTTACTTTTTATCAATTATCATCATGAGAGGTAATAAAAATAATTTTACTCTTTTCATAGCAGTCATAACGTTTTGCAACACAAAATATATCTTTAAATGTATATATATATATATATATATATATATATATATATATATATATAGGGGCGCATGCGTGTGTGTTTTGTGTGGGTCAAACTCATTAGTAATTTGAAGACTTGTAAAATTTATATTAAAAGTCATGAGTAATTTTATATATATATATATATATATATATATATATATATATATATATATATATATATATATATATATATGTGTGTGTGTGTGAGATAGATAGATAGGGGAAAAGGTTATAGCTGTTCCAAC